GTCTACGTTCATCACCACAGTTTCTTATCTGGAAAGAGTAAATTCACAGCTTGTGTGTCTTGGAATAAATGTTTTGCTTTAAACACAAAACATTTAATCTCTGGTTTTTCCTCCCCTCCAGGAGATAACCTGAGATTTGACAGCATACCTACATCTATTTGTTTCTTCTAGTTTGTCAACTATATTCAGGGAAACGGAACAGATGGTTGAAAAAAATCCTGATCTTCCAGGAGTATGACGTTTTATTGTCAGTCAGATTTTAGTTCATCCTACACTAGAAAAAAGTATGATAGAAATTACAGTAATGAAGCCCTTCAGCACTGTAATAATTCTTCTCATAAGTATACTTTGAGAGATTCACCTCTAGTACTTATACCTGATTCTTCTCATTAAAGCACTAGGAGACTACAGCTGTATTAAGATGAGTATTCATTCTTTTAGTCTCAGCTCCATTTATATAACAATTGCAAGCACAGAGAATTTTAGAAAAAGTGGTCTTATTGAAAAGGCATGAACAATCAAGGATATTCGTGATTGAAATGAAGGATATTCTTGATTTTAAAATATTTTTTCCATCGTATTGCTCAAAACAGTAGTGCAGGTGGGTTCCCCCCCCCCAAGTAAGTAATTCAGAAATTTTTATTGGAAGTTGAAGCAACATAGTTTACCAGACAGTATTCTTTGCTTGGAATAAACAAACATCAGCATAACCCACAGATCTAAGGGCATCTCTACTTGACTAAGAAAATCCACGTGATGTTAAGACCATCTTCTGTTCCCGGAATGTTTTGTTTAGAGTATCTTGTTTTAGGGATCAAACTGTTTATTTTACTTTCAGAGCCATACACATATAGGAGCTATTCACAGAATGTCTACTTAACACAGAAAATGACTGAAAGAAACTACAGAGTCAGCTACTTTTTTAAAAAGCCAGCTTTCCCGATGAGATGATTTTTCCTGTTGTACTTGTCATACATTAATGTGACAAGAGAAATACTTATGATGACATTTCAAACTTGCGTATGAACCCAAGGCAAGAAAGCATTAAGGAAGGGTATAAAATCAATTTCAGACTGAGGTATTAAATAAGACTGGTTTTCTATGATGATCAATTCACATGCTGCACTGAAAAGCTGAAAGGAACAGAAATCAACCACTTGAATTCCTATTATTAAAAACAATTTAAACATAATTTAACCTAAAATATTTAAACAACAGATTTAAAACATAATTAACCTTTTGTTCCCAAATGAAGCTAGTCAAGATTTAATATGTAATTTAAATTGGAAACTACTGATATAATTACTTCATAGTATACAGAAGGAAAAAATATACAGTGTTGTATATTATGCAATTTGGCCAAAATCCGAAAAATCACAGTAACTTCAGGGAAACTTATATGCAATATAAGTATTAGAAAAGAACTGATGTGTTTCTGCTCCATCTATTAAAGTGCTTTAGTAGATAGAATGATATCTAGTATCAAACAATCAGCTGTATGCTCTGCCCAAATGCTAGGAAGTCTTCCCAGAGAATAATTTCCATCCACTGAAGCAAAAGGCAGAGATGTTCTTCACTCCCAAAACAGCACTCCTCACTCAAAAATCTTGTTATTCAGCTTTAGAAAACTGTAAAATTCAAGCCAACGCATTCCAAAAGGACCGATGATTTTGGGCACAGATATTTGGGTGCACTGCAACTCCTGAAAAGTTTAACTTTCAAAGAACTTGATTTGGCACTTCCTCTTTAAAAGTGTCCCAGAAGTAAGATAACCCAGGACACCCCACAAACACGTTTGAGACTTCTGAAAACCTTTGCTACTGTCACCCAACAGTGGGGGAGTTAACATCCCATGCCCTTTTCTATCCCACACCATCAAGCATCAGCATCTACCTTAAGACAATAGTGCCAGTGTAGTTCAAGTACACAGTAGGCCACAACAAACAGACTAAAGCCCCAGATCCAAGTTACCACCACATCTGATCAGTTTCCAATTCAAACAGCTCCAACTCTTAACCATGATCTATGAACATATGAACAGCTTGCTAACATGATCTAGACATAGCTGATGTCTTCCTGAGCATGTGGGCTGGAAGAGAAACCCCACTTAGTTCCAAATCACAGAAACACAGAATAATTCATGTTGCGAGGGACCTCCAAGGGAGCATGTGGTCCAATCTCCTGCTCAGTGCAGGAGTGCAACACTAACAACACTGAATCCAGACCAGGTTGCTCAGGGCTTTGTCTGGATCTTGAAAACCATCAAGGACAGAGACTTCTGGGGTCTCTGGGACTAACCTGTTCCAATCTGTTTCACAGTGAAAAAAATCTCCCATTTCAATTTATGACCTCTTATCCTCCTGCTGTGCAGTTTTAAGTGAGCTTGACTCCACCTTCTTGGTAACTTCCTAGGTATTGGAAGGCTGCTGTTACGTTCCCCCAAAGCCTTCTCTTTTCTAGGCTGAAGTTGTCCAGCTCCTTCAGCCTTTCCTCGTGGTGTACACACTCCAGCGTATTTTGCCATGATTTAACCTTAACTGTAAAATTCGTCACTTTCTTTTGCTCACCTTCTGTAATGTGTTAAAGATAATACAGAACCTCTAAGCAAAAAAAGTATAAATTTAGGATATTTATACAGTTACTCATTAAAGCAGTCTGGAAACAGACTGTAACGAAGGGTAAAGTAACTGCAGGTTTGTCTTGGTGACATTTCTCTACAAAGAATATAACCACTCCAGCTGGGAGGGAATGCATTCTGTAGGTATTTGGAAAATCTATTTAAAAAAAAAAAAAGTTCTTGAGAAAGACAGGAGGAAACCTCTATATGTTACATCCCAAAAGAAAGCACATGGAACTACTCCAAAGGGGAGGGGCCAATTATTGCATTAACACTTTTCAAGAATAACAATAAAAGCAATACAATTTTTTTCAGAACCAAGTGAACAATGCCTCCCAGCACGAAGCACCGGTTGCATGTATCTACTAGTACTCTAACAAAACTGAAATTCATCTGGAGGGTCACACAAAAACTGAAGCAGAGCTTCAGAGAGACATGACTCATTTGAAACATAAAACACCACCAAGTATGTACATAATTTGTAGAATATAAACAACTTTCAAGTATAAATACTTTTAGCAATTCACTTTGATAACTTCAAGGTAAAGAACCACGAAAAACCCACTTACCTTTTGACTACTATGGAAAGTTTAATTAATTCCAATGTATTCATTTGTTCACAGACGTTTTGAATTATAACTGATTATTCCTTCCAAGGCAGAAGCTGTACCATGAGAACATCAGATAATACTTTTCTCAAACCCAAGAAAAGAAAGTCACAGTTTACATGAACAATACATGACTTCAATCCATGAATTCCCAATTGTGTAAAGATATGCATGTTACTACTTACAGGGGAAATAAAAAGATAGGGACATTTTTATATTTATCTTTGAAAACTTCATGAAATCTTACAATTTTGAAGCTAATGAGGTTTGTTTGCTTTGTTTTATTAGAAAAAATACTCAGGCAAGGTCTACAATCATCTGTCAATTATAAATGACTTACAAGAAACTCATGAAGCAATAAAATTAAAAAAATACAAATACAAACTATATCTGAAACACTTCTATTTGGCAATTTTATAACAAATTCAAAAAAGAAACAAAGATTATGGATTACTTTATAGGTACAGAAAAAGCAGTAGGTGAAGTGCTCAAGCAAAAAAAAAAACCAAAACACTGCATTTTTTCAAAAATAAAGTCACATCACTACAGATTTTATGAATAATACCCTTATTAAACAACCATTCCAGAACATCTTATATTAGTGGTGCTTTTAATCTGCACTTCATTTTGTTTGATAAGATTTTTATTTTTGTGTATATAAGTAACATTTTTAACCCATTGGAGCTAAGCAAGACTCTCGTGTCAGTACCAATGCAGAATGCATTTGTATTATATTAGAATATGCTCACTTCTGCAACCAAAGGGTTACTTTAAGTTTTATTCTATTTAATAAAAATTTAGTGTAAAAACTGCTGGTTATTAGTTTCACTGTAGTAAATTCCTCCCCAATAAGGAGGACTAACTCTGCAGTTTGACTGCATATATCCATACAAATTTTACATATTAGTTCCTTCCAATAGTAAGGAAAAAACTAATTTCATGTTCACCATTAGAAAGGAGCGCCATGAATTAATTATGGGTACTATTCATCCCTCTAAGATTTCTGGGAAGGATGTTCAATGTATTTTTGTTCTTACAACAGATATTAACAGTAGTATATAGTCCCTTAGGTATGTAAAAGAAGGTTTTTTTTTATTGTTAAGGAAGGTGCTTTTTTTAAACAATTCTTCTGGCAGCACTAGTGAATTACAATATCCTTCAATATTATTTCTACCGTAATATATACATTTTAACTTTCATGCCTCTAGAAAAACATCTACAGTACATTTCATAATATAAAAATATATTACAAATCTGCTGAAATATTTACAAGCAATGTCCTATTATCTATATGCAACATTTTTGTCTCCATACAAAGACTAACAGGTTAGACACATCTCTATTTGTCAGTTAAAAAAATCCATGGCTTCTTGCTTATTAAGCAAGAATATGATTTTACTTTCCTTTTCAAAGCCAACTTTGGTGCATAAAGGATTGATTTTCTAGATTTTTTTTTTTTTTAAAAATACCATTTTCTTTACATCTAGAAAACATTAGGCCAAATAAAAAAAGTATACTTTACAAGTGAATGGGGATCCTAAAGGGTCAAAAAAGTAAAATAAAACACCAATAACACTAACTGCTTAAAAGTAGAGGTTTTTCAAAAACCGTCCATTGATACGGATCACATAGAAGCAGATCTCTTTAACATACTATACTACTCCTGAAAAGGGGGTCAGACATACTGCAACACTCTTAACATCTTTAAACCGTACTATATGTATTCATAGTTGACTGGAAAAGACAAGCATTCCATCAACATTTGTTTAGACATTATAATCCAACATATTTTAGGGATCTGCAAAAGGACACGAGATTACAAATGACGAATTATTACTATCCACCATACTCAAAGGGCAACAGGATAATCCCTTGTTAGCTGTTCTATTGTCTGGCATGTGTTATATTTAGTTAACATTGACAAGAAGCCTAATAACTTGTTAACAGTTCTCCTGGAAATTGTGAGTAAATGGTGATGGTTACTTTTTCTTTTCATCAAATATAAACTACTGTATTCACTAAAGAAAAAAGCAGCTTAAAGAAGCAAGCATGCAAAGCCTTTTAGTTGTTCCACTAAGTTGCCAGAAGAGTGTTTGCTCAGTCTCCCACTGTACCATTCCATGAAAATGTGGATATACAGTAATATATTAATATATTCCACGGAAGCATCAACTTCATTCACAGAATGTTTACACTAAGCATAAATATTTATCTAAGAAAAAAAAAAAAAGGATGGGATTTGACTAATGTGCAACTTTATTTCTAAATCCATTGTCAGTGACTAAGACTGCGGTGTCCCCACTTGCTTGGTTTTTACCTCTTCAACCTCTTCTGGGGCATTGTTCTGTAAAAGAAGATAGTACAGTTTTACATAAAAAGCCTGAGATGTAAATTCAAGTCAGCTAGAGTATACTATGAAATCACAACTATATAAAATATATTTTCATTTAATTTGATTAAAATTGAAAGCCATTTTAGATGATCCCATATTAGCGTACATTTCAGATAATTATTTCAAACTTTCTATTGGAGTCATCATTTTAGCATGACATTAATAGCTGTCACTGAAGAATTCGCCTAACCAATTTTTCCCTTGCAAAATTTTGGTCTTCAACTTTATTTCTTTGATCTCCCGCAGTTGGTCCCAAAGCTCTTTTTAATCACACGCTGATCTATACTGCTAAAAATCTAGCACAACATTACGTGAGGGGACCTTAATTTTATTTGGGAGAGGTAAAAAGGGTTGCTCATTTTTCTCCAAGGACTTAATCCCAAAGATCATTATATTTTTATTTTAGAAGGTTATTTTTTCCTTTTCAAATCAAACTAATCTATCAAGTTCTGTAAAGGTAATCAATATAAAGATGATTAACACCTAAATTAGATTGTAAAACAGTCACTGTGTTAAGCAGTTTTAAAACACACAATCCAATTTCCTCATAACATTTTTATGATTTACTGTTAACATTGGTAATTCATACACTAAAGTAAGTATTTTAAATACTTACATTTACAAAGATAGCAGATATAGTATGATGATCTATTTTCATATTGTAAACCAAGTTTTCATTATTTTGATTTGTGAAATACACTGAATATTAAAGGTGAACTGAAAGGCTTATCGCATATCAAGACCTCAGATTAGTGTTCTAGTTACTCCTTTAGACACTAGGTCACAGGATGTTAAGGAAGAAACATAGGAACACTGCACTTCAGTTACAGTAAAAAATTTTTTTTTTTTTCTTTCTAAACCATCTTCATGAAATTTTAATATCAGCCCATAAATGTGTATCTTTGGACATTCAAAAAGGTAAGAGTGAATTAAGCATTTCAGATTACCTTTAAAAACTGTACACACAGAGAACTGTAGGTATTGACAATTATGTGAGCACACTAATAAAGAGCGGGGGAAGGAATCAGGAAATTATTAGAAACAAGATGGATTAGAAGCCAACCTGAAGTCCTAAAAACACAAACGTGAATGCAGCTTAAAGACAAGTAACACGTACCGTCCCATTTTGTCCCCCTCTAAAGAATCTTGTATTAAAAAATAACAGTACTTGTATACAAGTACAGATTTCAAGGTAATACTGCATGTATTACAGTTGAATATAAAATATGTAAAGATAAATTTGGACTTTAAAAAAATTGGTATACAAACCAGTATGTGATCTTAACAGAAGTGATCTTTCAGGATTCCACTGTATGTACCTCCTTTACTAGAATTTCTGTACACCAAGCACAAAAAAGTAAAATACACTTGGTAAATACACATATTCCCCGTTTCTCAGTAACTAGAGTTCAGTTCAAGAAGTTAAGTAATTCTGAAACAACTTAAGACCTCAGAACTTAACTCCTGGACGCTGACAGGATTGAGGCTCCCTGGTCTGGTGTATAACGCATTAGCAATCCTGATTTTCCAGCGTCTAAAAGTTAAGTGAGTCTTAAGACTATATTTAAGTAAAGAAAGTTACAAAATGAGGACATTACCTGTATATGTTTGGGTCCAGAAGCAAGGCAGTATCTTTTGGTAGTTTTGATAAATGAACTACTTTAGTTTTTAACTGATGTCGCTCACTTTCATTTACCCACACATCAGGCAGACTATGAATAAATAAAATAAAAATATTCAAAAAAGATCAACCGTTTTTCTTACCATAAAGTTATGTGGTAAACTAGTACATAGGAAGTTTTTTAAAGTAATCTTCACATTTCACTGGTTAAAAAGCATCTTCACTGGAGTGAGGAAAAGACAGCCAATCTTTACACATTATACTTCAAAGGTTTTCAGGTTCTCAGTGTGAAAAAGATACTAAACATAATTTAGATTATTCCAGAAGAATACTGATAATACTAAAGCAAACATACAATGATAATGGCAGTAATTCTCCATTTTAACAATTTAATGTGAAAATGGGTAGCAGGAAAAAAAAAAACCCAGATCTTTGAAAATACTTTATTTTACTGGGCATAAAAGTTTTTGATGCTGTCAAAAAATTAAGTAAAGGCCAGAATATACTGCAAGCACTGAGCTTCAAGTTACATTAATTTGCTTGCTTCAAAGCTTTCAATGTCAAAATGCTCTGAATTTGCTGAAGTTAATTGTTTTATTATCTTCTGAGGAAATCCAGGCAGTCACCACAAAGTATTTTGGCTATGTAACAGTTCTCATTGTGAGATGGAATAAAACTTGGTCTTCACACATTAAAGGGAATTGTTGCTTCAGTGCCACTTGCAGTGAAACTTAGGAAGATGGCTGAAGATAACATACACAATTGATCTATGTTTTGTACTTAAAAATTCTTTGAAACCAAAGACACCTACTTCAGAGTGGCTTATTGCATTATTGCTTCTTTTACTGAAAGCACATTTTGTTTTTAAGACCCTGGTGAGGTTTTCATGTAACACATTATTAAGAGAGGCACTGGGCTTGCAGAGGTCACCAGTGTCTTACTGAAAACCTGCTTTCTGCTTTCCTGCCTCCTTCCAAATGTTAGCAGCTACCCAGGCTGTGCAGAACAAACAAGTGATTCATTTTGCTTCCACTACTGGGGGGCGTGGGGAACCCTACCCCCCCAAAAAAGAAAGAAAAAAAAAATCAACCCCAAACTATACCAAACATAAACCCCCGAGATTATTTTCAGCCCACATAAAGTGAATTTTTTTTTTTTTAACATGAACTAGGAGCCAAAAATTAATTTCAGGTTGGGGGGAAAAAAGTTTAAGTTTGTAATTAACGTTTTGAAACAAGTTTCAAATTGAGAAACCCAACCTTTAAGACTATCTAAATGAAACAGTTCCTTCTCTGACCAAAGCTATATGCAATTTTACAGACTTTTGCAAACTATTAAACTGAATATCTATTTTTCAGCAATGAAAGTTAACTGTAACTCAAATTCATTTTTTGGGGTAAGCCATCCAAAACATGAAATGAAACAAAGAACTTCTATCCCAGTAGGAAAAGGAGTTTCACCAATGATACTCTTCCCTCTTCAGATGAAGGTGGAAGAAAAAAAAGAAAAAAAAAAAAGGGGGGGGGGGG